TTGTAAAACAGAATGGCACTTATATAATTTAATAAACGCATACTAAAATTTAAATCTCCCGCGTTTCAATTTTCCTTCAAAATTAGCACGAACTTCCTGGAATAAAATATAATATAATAAAAATATAATAAAAATATAATAAAAATATTGTCTAACAACCAGAAGAATAACAGCATTATATACATACAAATGTATATATTATGCATGTACTTGTTACATTAAATAAAATGTATCCGAAAAATTCCAAAATCGTATAAGAAAACCTGAAAATGAAGAAAATTGGAATATTCGAACAAAATAAGATAGCAATCGTGACAGAAATTATATAATACTCCAGAAGCACTGGTGAATTATCGAAAAATTGGTGCAATTATACAAACCATGCAACAGCTATAATATGAAGAAAAAATAAAAAATATTCCAAAAACATTGTTACGAGTAGAAAATGGCTCCTTGTACGTGTGACAAAAGTAAGGTGACAATGGTGTTAGCTTCACATCATTATGGAATACGGAAATGCACATCGTCGTGAAGATTACCACCGGTCGAGATAAAAATCGAGATAAAAATCGAGATAAAACAGAACTTATACGAGGAAGAAACTACTACGACTAATCGCGTATGAAATTATCTTTTTATCTTTCGCAACAACTATTGTGAAATTTTTGCAAAAACAATTTCCTAACCTCAAAATGATTTTTAAAAAGTCCAAAGAATTTTTAGTAATATTTCAGTCGCCAAGGAAACTTGAACTTGAAATTTATCAAACTTGTTGATTCTCTTTTTAAACGAGCTGGGATGAATCAGACGCCTCGCTTATGCTTTTATTTTGAAAGCATTTCCGGCCAGAAGAATGCAGCTGCACGGCTTTTAAGACGCTCCTATTCACGTCTACGAATAATGAATAATTCCTTAATTCCTAATATTAAATCCTTCGCAAACTTGTCCACTAACAAAGAAAATTTATTTTATAACGAAGCAATTTTTATTTCTTAATAATTTCTGAAAGAACGTGTAATTAAATGTACATATTAAAAATTAATTATTGTTAATAATAGTTTTGAGTCACGTTGTAATTTATTTTGAGGTTAGATTACATAGACTAATCAAATTCTTACATGAACCTAATAGTATATTATTTTATAAAATACTTCTTTGATAATTCTGTATTTCAATACTTTAATACAATTGTCCATCAAAAACTGTATATTCTAAAATATACATTTACATTAAATATACATAAAATATACATTATACAAAAATTGATAAAATCAAAAAATATAATTTGACTAAAACTTCGAAGAAATTCAGATAAATTAATCGAGGAAGGAATACAATTTAATTTCAAATTTCCTAGAAAGGAGTAGACGAAACAGAAGAAAGCAACAGGAGTTCCCAGAATTACTAAGAATTTCGTATAGTCATCGTATTAAATAATTAATAAAAATATAACGAGGAAAAGAATTATTCATTAGTAGTTTGATATATACAAAGACAAAAGCAAAATCAACGCTATTTCTCTGAATCGAAGAAAGTTATAATAATTATAATACTTGGAATAAGGTTTCACGAAGAAAAATTCAAAATGGTTTTCATTCTTCCCTCCCGCACCGCCATCTAGGCCACGCGCCAAAAAGCTACACCCTGACCCAACGCAATCTCGTCATCGCGTCTCGCTTTAAATCAGATCCGATGGTCGCAAGGATATTTCCTAGCCACTCCTCTATTCCTACGAACACGGTAGTCAGATCACGCGTGCACGTTACGCAGATGTCCTGAACGGTGTCACAACACCTTCGTTTCCCTGTTACCCATCTGCCTCTCGGATTAACCGATACAGCCGTTAACCTCTCCGATCCCTTTATCTACCCTCTATTCTCCGCACTTGAACAAAACCGATAGAACAAACGGCTGGAAAATAGAGTAGAAAGAGAAGGATCCACCGGTTATGACAGTCCGTTAAGAGGCAAGCACACTTGCGTAGCATTGTACGCTGCCGCGAGCGTTGATGGTGGTAGTCGCGAGCTGCGTGGTGGGAGGCCTCAATAAAAGTCAGTGGCAGACTGATTGTAATTCAGAGTGGCGGTAGACTCCGGTACTAGTGCCCCGTACGGCCGCGTCCTTTCTCCGTGCCTCTTCTCGTTCCTTCTTCGTTCCTCCGTACGGTCCATCGCGATTCCCCTTCGACTCTTTCTTCTCTCTCTCTCTCTCACTGCAACGAATCCGCGTCCTCGTCGCGAATCTTCGGAACGTTAGTTCGAGTCGATCGTGATCGGTGATTGGCGGTCCCGAATCAGCGCGACAGGACACACGAAACGCGGAAACGGACCGCAGTACCGTACATTCGGCGAGGTGCGTGCCCCCGCGTGATTTTGGTTAAGAAGACTTTGGGACTTCGTGGAAAGAGGCACAGTGGCAAGCCAAGCGTTGGGGAATCGATAGTGTCGTGGCAACGATTCTGACAACGGTTCTGACCGACCCTGCTAACGAGTCGGACTTGCCCTGGAACAGGTCGACCCCGATTGTTTTCCCGCCAAGACAGAGCAGAGTCTCGCGAGGTTAGAACTTTCGTTCGACGACGGGAAAGTAAGTGAGATTAGAGGTGGTCGAATCCGAGGTAGTATCAGAGTCTTCGGTGAAGCTCGAACGATCGAGAGGACACGTGGATCGCGGAATCGCGTCATCCTGCGATCTTCCACGAGACGAGCAAGAAACACGTGTGTGCAGTCAGTGTCACGGGGTGAAGGGACGGCCTTGTGAGAGTAGATACATCGGTGATCGTCAGCCATCCCCGGACCGATTTTGACAGAGAAAGACACGTTGATTCGAGGATATTAGACAGAGGAACGATGGCTAGGTGGAATGATATACTTCGATGGGAAAGATGTGTCGGAAGTGTCCTCTTGGCGGTGCTGTTCGTCGTTTCCCGCGTCAGCTCCGAGGACAACCCGGGGCTTATATCACAGACTGCGGCAATGGTAAGTGTCAGAACGAGTATTTGCATTTTGTCAGGTGAAATTAGGTGACTTTCCACGGTATAGGTATAATAGAAAAAGATCAGTCGATCATAATTGATCGTGATGAATTTCTAACAAGTTTTCGTTAGGAGTGCATCTAGACCGACGAAAGAACGGTCGTTTGAGTGTATTGTTATAGAGTATTACTAATAATAATTCTAAAGTCGATTCGATTGTGAGAATGCCTAGCTTTGTAAAAGAATAGCAATTTGATTCAGTCATCGATTCGAATATACCATTATAGCGCATTAGCAATATTTATTCTAAAGTCGATTTTAGTAACTTTTTCAAATAGAAGAATTCCTAACCTTGTAAAGTGTTGCTAATATTAATTCTACGGTCAATTTAATATATTCAATATATTTCATTCGAAAATACCTACTTCTGCAAAAAAGTAATTACTAATTGAAGTGTAGCACTATAGAGCATTAACAATATTAATTCTAAAGTCGATTTTAATAACTTTTTCAAATAGAAAAATTCCTAACCCTATAAAATGTCATTAATATTAATTCTATAGTCGATTCAACTTCGAAAATACCTAGTTCTATAAAAAAGTAATCACTGATTGAAGTGTAGCACTATAGAGTATTAACAATATTAATCTTAAAGTCGATTTTAATAACTTTTTCAAATAGAAACATTCCTAACCCTATAAAATGTCATTAATATTAATTCTATAGTCGATTCAACTTCGAAAATACCTAGTTCTATAAAAAAGTAATCACTGATTGAAGTGTAGCACTATAGAGTATTAACAATATTAATCTTAAAGTCGATTTTAATAACTTTTTCAAATAGAAACATTCCTAACCCTATAAAATGTCATTAATATTAATTCTATAGTCGATTCAACTTCGAAAATACCTAGTTCTATAAAAAAGTAATCACTGATTGAAGTGTAGTACTATAGAGTATTAATAATATTAATTCTAAAGTATATTTTAGTAACTCCTTTAGAGAAATTCTTAGCTCTATAAAGTGTTAGCGTTATTAATATTAATTCTATAGTCGATTTAACTTCAAAAATACTTATTTCTGCAAAAAAGTAATCACTGATTGAAGTGTAGCACTATAGAGTATTAACAATATTAATTCTAAAGTCGATTTTAGTAACTTTCTCAAGTAGAAAAATTCCTAACCTTACAAAGTGTCATTAATTCTATAGTCGATTCAACTTCGAAAATACCTACTTCTGCAAAAAGGTAATCACCGATTGAAGTATAGCACTACAGAGCATTAACAATATTAATTCTAAAGTCATTTCGACGACGAATATGGCAAATCCTTGGAGTAGGAATATTGTCGATTCGAACTGAACCGAAACGAATGACAGTGAGTAAAGTGACATTGCGCAATGGTTTCACGCATGGTGTGATCGGAAACATTTTCATTGCTCTTCCTGGAAAATAAGAGGCTACGGTAGAACGCAACAAGTTCCAGGTGGCGGAGACTGCGTAGAGGAAAATACCTACATAAAGACGGTTAATCGTGCGGGAAAATTGATTCGCGCGAAATGTACCGCGCGTGCGCAGGGACAAGTGTGTGTGTGTCATACGTGAATGAGTAATAATCGCGTACGAGTTTCTTTTGACAACGCGAATAACATTCCAGGGGATACGTTTATCTCTGTGATACTGATATACAGATTACGATGGACACCGATGCTATATCTCGAGTATAGCACTGAGTCCCACGAAACAGTTTTCCTAGTTACCTAGTTATCAATTAATAAGAAAAATTCTCCATTGTTCGTGTGAATTTCCTTTTTCCTATGTGTGTCTTTCGATTTCGTTTGCTTTAAATATTTTCTCGATATTTTTTCCGCTACGATTAGACAAATTAAAATTCGATATATTTAATTTATTATATTTTACATAACTGGTATTACTAGTTTAATCTTTATCCCAACTTTGTCTCGCATATGTCGTTAATATTATCTTTCATTAAATTTTATTTTACTCTTGTCAGTTAACCTATTAATACCACTTGCTTCCTTATATTTTATTCCATTGACGTCGCAAGTAAATAATTCATTTGAATATTTCCCATTACCATTGCAACATAACCTCAACTCGTCTTACCTTACTATTATCCTCCAGGTATCGCGATACCTAATTTTATTCGCCTAATTGTTATAACATTTCCATTAAAGTACCGTTATAGTATATTTCCCATTATAGTACAATTATAATATTAAAATTAATATTATCGACCTCATCGCGATCTACTTTACCAACCGAAACTAATTTCTTGTATACGTTATAAACAATTATTCCCTAGCTCTCAGCGAACTCTAACCCTTTCACAAAGCAAGCATCGTTTCTTCCGTTGTTCATCAACAATGCCAATTATCAGTTGTGCAACTACATTCGCGATAAGACTAAAGCATCCAACGAGCATATGCTGAGATAGGAACGAGGTCAAATAGCACGAGAGGAATATCGTATAAGTAATTTCGTCTATCCGAGGTATTCTCGCAGGTATGCAGCATGGAAAAGGGAAAAACTTCAGACCGGTTCCAGCGTAATGACATAAGGTCGGTCAGTGTGACGTCACTGGCTACCTTCGCTGACAAAGTTCAGCTACGCGCGATGACTCGCACTCGACCTTCGATTCATTGAACAGCATTGACTGTTGCAGTGTCATACGTACGTTACGGCATAGGAAACTCGACATTTCTATGCGGGTTCTTTTGTTAGTGAAACAGAAAGAATTACGATTTTATTTTAATTTATTTTAATTTATTTTAATTCTTTTTTTTTCTTTTTAATTAAATTCGAGGTCGTTGGATGATTGAGAAGATTAACAGAATTGGCAGGTTGTTGAACTCTTGATCAAAAGTCGATATGGATAATGAAATTAAGTGTCTAGGAGATAGAGGCAGGTTTTAGGGTCCTGGTCTGACCATGAGGCAATGTTTCTACTTGAGCGAGCTAAGATCCTGGACTTGAGTCAATGTTAATGTTAAGTTGTCGAATGTTAATATTGACTATCTACTTCGCGAATAACATTTCCTAAGAACTTGAGCACACAGTTCGAAGTTACGAGATAAGATAATTTCGTTCGTTTTGGATGTTTCCTTTCATAGGTGCAAAGATCGTGAGCGACCTGCTGTTGAGAGATGTAGGAATACAGTAGTCGATCATTTAACTGGAATTAATGAATTTATACTTGTACTTGTCAAAAATAATGAAAATTTTGAGCTTTCTTTTCCTTTGGATTCTACAGTTTGAGTTTCAATTTGTCAAAAAGCGATGCTAAAATATTGAGTTCGTGTGATGATTATGTAACTGTGTACATCCTTGATGATGAGTGATGAAATTATTGTGTAATTCGTTCAGGTATTCTAGAATATGTATGAAAATAAATATCGTCAAAGAGACTCCCTAGATTTCAGTGATATCTGATACAAAATATCGTGTACTTTGAGCTAAATCTGAAAATAAGCTTAGGTTTTTACTTAGCTCGTTTTAGGTTCCATAGTGATCGAACAAAACTTTTAAATTTAGGTCCCATACTGATCCAGTTATTGGGATTAAGCGTAATTCCAAATTCTCAATAAATTCATCAGCATGATCCTATCAAATTTTACCTTGTGATTCTTACAAACAGTTCTCATCTGAGCAAATACTATATTATAGTTTAATTTATATACTATAATCTAGGACAAAGAATTTAATGTACTATATATTATTTTAATTATATTCATTTATTGGAGATATGAATCGTGGTGGCGCTAGTGAGTTAAATGGCAAATCGTCTTAGGACTTGCTCGTGAAAGCGTTAATAATTATATTATATAATTATACATTATCACATGCACTATATTTTCTGCGGTATGATATAGTATGTTATATTCCTTATATTGGATTATGTTATATAAATTAGATTTTGATATGTAAGATACTATAGGGTGTCTCAAAATTCACGGATGATTTGAATTTTGTACCATTTGTGTGGTAAAATCTTGTCAACGAAAACAAAAGACAGCGTGACAGCTGACAGCTCAGGATTATTCAAAATTGTGTGTTACATGAAAGAACAACGCGTTTTTATTGTTGAACAATATTTACAATTTTTAATTAAATCCTGAGTTTTGTATTAAAATTACTTCTTGCCTAAATTTTGGGACACCCATAGTATCTTACATATCAGAATTTAATTTATATAATATAATCCAGTATAAAGAATATGATATACTATAGTATATAGTATATAGAAAAAACTATACTGTTACAGTGATACTATACTATACTATACTACGATACGATACTATATAGTGATACTATAGTAATAATACAATAATACTTATGATAATGTATAATTTTATAATATAATTACTAAGCCTTTCACGAGCAAGCGATTCAGCAGTCCTAAGACGATTTCCCACTTAACTCACTAGCGCCACCACGGCTCATATCTCCACTAAACGAATATCGTGAATATCGTACATATATTTTCTAATTTTACTGATACAACCATAGAATTTTCTTCTTACTACGCGTGTTATATTGTTTGCACAATATCGTTTTCACAAATTTTTCGACTTTCTGTTTAATCTTAATGATAATAGTCGGAAAAGACCTCTATCTTACGGTGAATCCTCCACCTTAAGCTTCGTATTTCGGTTTGTAATTGAGCCGAATAACAGAGATCTGCCAGATAAAGCTGATAATAGCACCTTGGCCGAACGACGGTCATTGAAATCGCGGTTGTAAAGAGGCGATTTCGTGCGCGTCGCTTAAGCAATCTCGGAACACGATAATGACGTAATTATCTGTCCCGGTAAATACAAATGCTGGCAGCTTTATCTCCAAGGTTCGCGACGCGTGAACAACCAGACCGATCTCACGCCCTCGATTACGTTTCATCGATTCTTTGTTCGCAATTGATCGGTGCATGCATCGATAAATCGAAGGAGGGACGCGCTTTGCTCGGCCACGTGTTTCCACACATGT